CCCCAAAAGGCCATCTACTCCAACTCCCTTCTTCCAGGCATAAGGGCACCATCAAAAACCTCCTGGCAAAATCACTCTTTCCCCTCCATTCCCCCGCCTCCTTGTGCATCATTTCTACATGCCAGGAGGACTGCCGGAGCATCTAAATGGAAGACTTCTGGGTGTCTGGGTACCCTCCCGATAGTTACCAGGAGGGCATCTAGACACCCCCAGGAAAGCCCAGGTTTTTGGGGGGTGCTATGTGGAAGTGTCCTTAAACACTGAGCCATGGACTGACACTACAGGAAAACACATTGTAACTAAACATGGGGGATCCTGACAGAAAAAGACTATAGAATACACTGCCACAGAGTGTTGTGGGATTTCCTTCTCTGGAATTTTTTAACAGAGGTTGGGAGGCCATCTATCAGGAGTGCTTTTATTGTGTATTCCTGCATAGAAGGGGGTTGGACTGGATGGCCCTATGGTCTCTTCCAGCTCTATGATTCTAGGAATTGCTACAGATATCCTGTTTCTGATGGTTGCAAACTATGAAATTCAATTTAGAACTTGCTGTGCTTTCCACTTTTTCTGAAATGCCATTGATTTCTCCCCCCCCCCCCACTTTCTGCACTTGCTGTGCTTTCCACTTTTTCTGAAATACCATTGATTTCTCTCCCCCCCCCCCCTTTCTGCAAACAATGCTTTTACAATATCTGGAACTCTGGCGTGCATTCACATTAAAAAGGATTCTGCAGAAAAGTGCAGTCAAGCCTTTCTGAAGTTCAATGGCAAATGAAATTCCAAACAGTTTTATCACCCTCTAGTGGGACAAAGAAGAACTTTTCAGGATGAAAGATTGATTTATAAAATATACTGACTTTTTCTGATTGTTTGTGCTACATCAAAAAATACTGCTTTTTTAATATCTTTTTTTTTCTAGCTATTGTTTGAATGGAATATAAGGTGATCCAGGGTGATTGGCTTCAGCCCTGCTTGGGCAACAAGGATTTCTTGATCACAGTTGTGTTGTTTTAAATCTAGGACCTTTTTCACATTGGTCTTTTGTGCCACTTCCAAAACAGTCTTTCTGTACATGGAAAAGTACTCTCAATACAACAGGCACATTCACACTTTCCCTTCAATGTTTCTAGAGATCTGTGTTTTTTTACTTATCACTCTAGTGTCCTTTCCTCTGCCTACTCTTCTGCATTTCGGTATAGTGTGTGACATTGTGGAGTGTGTATCATTGCTGCCTGGCTATTATAATAAAAGAAATGTCAGACATATACCCTTTCGGTATTGTCACCTGCACACACATCTCACCACCAACATGACTATTTTGAACTCTCAAAGATGATTGCCAATGGTACCTAGATGACTTAGTTCCTTCAATACTCTTGGGTGTAGTTGATCTGGTCCTGGGGACTTGAACTCATTTAGAGCGGCCAGGTATCAGTATACAAAAACATCTTATGCCACTTTAGAGACTAATGAAAGAACCAGAAAATGGTAGGGTCACTGTGTATGAGTAATGGCAAAATGACTGAAAAGGCAAAACTACTCAATACCTTATTTGCCTTTATCTTTACCCAAACATTTAACAGTGCTCAAAATAGGAGTTGATAGTGCAGAGGATGCACTAGAGTAAATGTAGCACAGAATAGGTAAAAGGCAATACAGGAATATCTAGCCATTAAAAATGAATTCAGTTCTTCAGGACCAGGTGAACTACATCCAAGGGTATTAAAAGAAATGCCAAAAGTAATTCAGAACCACTGGCAATCATTTTTGAGGATTCCTGGAAAAAAGCAGATTGGAAGAAGGCAAATGTTGTCCTCATCTTTAAAGTGGAGGTGGGGGAAAAATAAACAATTACCACCCAGTCAGCCTGACATCAATACCAAGAAAGATTCTTGAGCATGTCATTGAGGAAACAATCTGTAAGCACTTAGAAAGAAATTGCATACTCACAAAAAGTCAACACGGCTTTGTCAGAAACAAGTTGTACCAAATGAATCTTACTGCTTTTTTTCTAGAGTTGCAAGATTGGTAGATGAAGGGAATGTCATGGATGTTGATTATTTTGATTTCAGAAATGTCTTTGACAAGGTCTCCTATGACATTCTTTCAAAGAAGCTTATAAATTGACTTGAAAAAGATGGTGGAATGGACAACATAGAAAACAGGGATAAATGTAAGGTATTCCACTTAGGCAATAAAAATGAAATGCACAGATATAGGATGGTGGACACCTGGCTTAAAAACAGTATACGTAGAAGCGATCTGGGCATCTTAGTAGACCACAAATGGAACATGTGTCAACAGTGTGATGCAGCAGCTAAAAAAGCTAATGCAATTCTAAGCCGCATCAATAGGAGTACAGTGTCTAGGTGAATGAAGTAATTGTCCCACTCTACTCTGCTTTGATTAGACCTCACCTTGAATATTGGGTCCAGTACTGAGCACTGGAATACAAGAAGGATATTGACAAGCTAGAACAAGTCCAGATAAGTGCAACCAAAATGATCAAAGGTTTGGAAGCCAAGCCCTATGAGGAATGACTTATGAAGCTGGCTATGTTTAGCTTGGAGAAAAGAATACTGGGAGGGAACCTGATAGCCATGTTTAGGAATCACATTGCAAAGGAGAAAAACTTGTTTTGTGCTGTTTGGATACTGGGGCACAGGTTGAAATATTCAAATGGCAGGAAAAGATATTCCAACTAAACATCTTTCTCTGGATGTTTAAAGTAGAGGTTGGATGGTCATATATCGGTAATGCTTTGCTTCTGTGTTACTGCATGTCAGGGGTTTGGACTACATGGTCCTTTGGATCTCTTCCAACTCTATGATTATATTCTATAATAACAAAAGGAGATAAAATCCAACCTCCCATGACTCTTCCATCAAGCACTATGATAGCTATTTTGATAGCCTGACTGGATAATTCAGCAGGAGGTAGAAAGCCCTGCCCTAAAGGGCTCTAAAGGTAAAAGTAAAGGTTTTCCCTTGACGTTAAGTCTACTCATGTCTGACTCTAGGAGGTGGTGCCCATCTCCATTTCTAAGCCAAAGAGACAGCATTATCCGTAGACACATGCAATGTCATGTGGCTGGCATGACTGCATGGAGCACAGTTACCTTCCTGCAGAAGTGATCTACTCACACTTGTATGTTTTCAAACTGCTAGGCAGTAGCTGGGGCTAACAGTGGGAGCTCACTCCACTCTCCAGATTCGAACCACCAACCTTTCAGTGAGCAAGTTCAGCAGCTCACAGCTTTAACACACTGCACTACTGGGGGGTCTAGGAAACAACTATTATATATTTAAAGATCATCGAAATCCTCAACTAATCAAAGAGAAGGAACTCTCCTTTCACATTTGGGAACACAAAATAATCAGACCACCACCAAAAAAGTATTTTACCACTCTGTGTGTATGTGTGCATTCAACTGAACTGTCAAGTAATGGTGATACCATAAATTTCATAGAGCTTTCTTATTTATTATTTATTTATTTTATTTCTGACATTTATATCCCATCCTTCTCAACTCCCGAGGGGGGACTCAGGGTGGCTTACACTAGCAACAATTCAATGCTGCAATATACAAAAACAGCAACAACACAATTGCACATTGAATAAAAACATTAGGTTAAAATCAATCTAACACATTATTATGAGCCGTATAGCCATTTCCAAGTCCGCTTCAGCATCCAAAGACCCAATTTAATTCAAAACCTGTCCATAGTCTGTTCTCATGCCATTACCTGTGCTGTCAGCTTTGCTACCCAAATGCCTGGTCCCAGAACCATGATTTAACCCTCTTCCTAAAGGAAAAGCGGAATGAAGCCGACCTAATTTTGCTGGGGAGTGACTTCCACAGGTGGGGGGCCACCACTAAGAAGGCCCTGTCCCTCGTCCCCACCAGATGCGATTGCAAGGATGGTGGGATCGAGAGCAGGGTCTCTCCAGACAATCTTAAACTCTGGGACGGGGCATAGATACATTTGGACAGGTATGTTGTGCCAGAACCATATATTTCTTCTTAGTGAAGAAATAGTCAGATATCGTTTTGCGAGTTCCTTCCTCTGAAATACAGTGTGTGGTATCTGGTGCTACCAATACAGAAATAAATATGCTACGTTTAGGAAAAATGACTGCAAAAGATAGTAACTTACCACCAATATCCATATCCACCTTGAACTGAAAGTTGTGAGTGTGAATTGTTCCCAGCACCCACTCTTGAACTCTGTTGCCAAATTCTGCAGCATCTCCAAAGAAGAAAGATGACTGAATGTATCCACTGGCATAGGACCTGACACTAACAGCTCCATTTTGGTGAAAAATAAAGTCCCATACATAATCATAGTTAACAAATGAAGTTATGGACCTGAACACAACAGTTGAATCTACCAAACCTCCAAAAAATGGAGCCTGGCCACTTTCATAATGGCGTCGTATAGGCACGTCAGTATTCTGCTCAAATATGCAGATTGAGGCTTCTCTGGTGACAGGTGATGATGTATCAACAAAATAGTGTCTGTCCAAATAAGTAGCTAAGTAAGGACAATCCACACCCTGGATGAGTGTGTGGAGGTTACTTCCCAAGCCATAACTTATGTCCATATATCTGTTCTGCATTAATCCTGGACTGTTGGAGCCATAGACAGCAATTGCATCTTGAAGGCTAAGTTCATAGACTATTCTCTCACCATTAAACCTGATGTCGAAGACACGCGGCCCATAGAATGCATCTGTTCCAAAGGCAAAACTCCAGGACATGAAGGTGACTTGGTTATTCCTGATGCTGTAGCGTGGACCACGAGGTTCATAGTGCAGGGGACCTTGTCCCTTAGGGGGCACCCTCTGCTTTAATGATGAGTACCCCCCATCAGGAGGAGACTTTTTAACTTTGGCTACTTTTACATACCCTTCATTGAATTGTCTCTCAATATCCTCCATGTCCTCAAAGTATTGATCATTATAGAAAACTTTTTTCACTCTCCAGTCAGAAATATTTATGCTACTGACATCCAGTAGGACTTCAAATCCAACTGGATGTACAGGAAAGCCAGACACATTTTGGAAATGAAAAACCAGATTAGACGGTCTCCTGATTGGAACCCTGGAGGCATTGCATGAAAATACATAAAATTACTTCTATTGTAATCAAATACCTTGTGCATAAACTTTGGAGCTTTCAGATATTGCTTCTTCATGAATGTATTCCATTCTTGAATCTCATTCTTTAACATAAATCTTCTGAAATAAGGTAGCTTTCCACCATATTTCTCCACTGTGATATCATGGTGGTATGTTGGGTTTGGAAGAGGGCCCACCAAAAACTCAGTGACGTTTGGATCATTCTGATTTCCAAAATAAACTACAACTAGTGCTTGACGGGCAGGTCTTCTTCCTTGATGGTCCAGAAATTCCAGAACCTCTGCTTTTGGAGGAAGCTGAAGTGTAATGGAATAAATGCAGTTGTCAGCTGGTTTTGCTTCAGAAGGATCAACCAGCGGCACAGCTAGGTTTTGATGAAAGTACCTATTCACCTGTGTCATCTCTCCTGGAGATAAATCATCAAATATCAGACTGTGCATATCTTGAGTTTTCTCCTCTAGTCCAATGTCTTGGGGAAGACTCTCACAAACCATAGATTTCCTTCCTCCTGTCTGGAAAGCCCAGACTATGATGAAAATTATGGCTGTGCATATAGCTAGGAGAGGATAAGTCCATTTCAAGTTCATTTTCATCAGTGCTGTAAGCAGCTCCCTATAGTTTGTAAAACAATTTGTAGATTGCAGATTGTATAATCCCAGAGTTTATGTAGAGTTGCAAAGCATAATCAAATGAACTATGAAAAAGGACATGGCAAGAAGAAACTGAAATACTACTTTCTAAGACTCTATAAATACCATGCTCTTAGATTCCGCCCATTCCGTGTTTAAATGCATTGCGCAGAGGAAACAATTATGAATTCATTTACACCCGGAATAAATGTATCCATTCAATCTAAATACCTCATTAGTTGCAGGATTGACAACAGATAAAATCTAAATTAAACCAAGTGTTCTTTTTAGAAGTGTGAATGCTATTTACATTGTTTATTTCACTATTGCAAACAAATAAATGAGTTAAGTTTTTTTTTCTATTATGCAAGAATTCAGGAGTTTTGGGTCATTTCGTACCTTTGTAATAGTTAACAAATATTTCTGAGCAAATATATTATTTGACCAGAATCTTGAAAAGCAAAGAATCTCATTGTGATTCCTCTACAAAATGCCTTGGCTTCTCATCAAGAATGTTAAAAATGAGAATATTCCTTCTATGGAATTTGTGAGTTCTTCTTTCATAGTAAATGGTTTCAATATCAAAAAGACAGTTGCCCAGGGGAGGGGGGATCCATCACATAATTTCAGTTGAAATTTATAGTTGCCAGAAACTTCCAATACTTTGCAACATTCAGTTCTCTTACAGAAGAAACACTTCTTAATGTTTCAAAATAAGCCTTGAAGACCATACTTGACATGTAAAATAGTTAGGTAACTTTAACAGAAACTTTATTTCTTGATGCTTTCCCAACAACACTTTCAACAGCTTCTTTTTAATGGTCAGACTTATCTTTCAACAACAGTCTTCCCTCTTACTTTCCCAATATGCATTACCCAATCTCTATTTTTAACCTGATATTACTCTAAAATGTTGAGTAAAGCAGTGATTCTCAGAGTCACTGTTCGCTGGCCATGCTGTCTTGGGATTTCAATATGGAAGACCAAAAACAGAAAGAACAGTAGCTATTGCTTTTTAAAACATGTAATACCTGAAATCTTCTAACCACATTTAAAAAAAAGTTCAAAATGAATTAAGATATATTTATTAGGCCTGGGCGGTTTCGTTTCGTTAATTCGTAATTCGTTAATAATTCGTTAATTTTTCCAATTACAAAACGATAACGAACCATTCTGGAGCAATTATTAAAAAAACGAATTTTTAAACACGTTTAGTAAATGCTTCGTATTTCGTTATTGTATTCGTTTCGTTATTGTTCTGAGGTCGTTTCGTTATTATTTCCGCATGTCTGGGCCAGTTTTATGGTTTAATTAGTGAAAAAAAATTATAATATCACACCAACAGTCAAGAACAGAGGGAGAGGGAAGCTTCAGAAGTTTTTGGAGGTTTTTTAGCATATTTCGCGGTCGCGTCCGCCATTAATGAATCGATTCGTTATTGTTTCGGAAATCGATTCGTTAATTTTTTACCATTTACGAAATTTCGTAAATATCGAACTTTTTAAAAGGAAAATTTTGTAATTATTTTAAATATCAAAATAAAAAAATCCCCCAAATACAAATCGATTTTAGAAACAAATTTTTCCATTGTTACCCAGGCCTAATATTTATCCTTTGGACAAAAATCAGATAAATTAAATTAAAACATCTGCCTTGATATTTTTTGCCATAAACACATTTTACTTTCTCACAAATTAAGAGAGCATTAATTCTATTGAATAATCTTTAGTAGGTTCATTGAATCTGTGAGGAGTTAACAAGGAAATAATTATTGTGTTTTATGGCTTTTATTTTTATTGCTTTTATATGATTTATATTATATGTAAATAAATACAGTTTTAAACTGTATTTATGTTGTTTGGGGGCATTGATTGCCGACTGTAAACCACCTCGAGTCACCTTCGGGCTGAGAGGGGCAGTAGATAAATATGGTAAATAAATAAATAAATAAATAAATAATTCAATGAGTATACTCTAGCAGTCTCTAACAATAAGATCCAGGATTTAGTTTTCTATCTCCAGTCATCTCTTTTGGCAGTTTCAATCAAATAATCAAACATGCAGATCTATTTTCTGATCCTATAGATCCTTTTTATTTATTATTTTATTTATTTACTGCACTTGTAGACCGCCGTTCTCAGCCCTAGGGCGACTCATGGCGGTGTACAACATATAAAAACAGGTACAATTTGCAACATAAGCAATATCACAAACAACAATAAACAACATCACTATAATAATACAATTACACTAAATCATTCGCGACGTCTCATCGTTGAATCACAATCCAAATCTCGTTATCCATGTTCCGTTCCAATCGTCATTGCCAATTGTTGCAGCACTTACTCAAACGCCTTCTCAAACAACCACGTCTTTAGTCTCTTGCGGAATGTCATAAGGGAGGGCGCCAGTCTGATGTCCACAGGGAGGGTGTTCCACAGCCGGGGGGCCACCACCGAGAAGGCCCTGTCCCTAGTCCCCGCCAGGCGTGCCTGTGAGGCAGGCGGGATCGAGAGAAGGGCCTCCCCGGACGATCTCAAAGTCCTCGTGGGCTCATAGGCCGAGATGCGGTCAGACAGGTATTTTGGGCCGGAACCGTTTAGGGCTTTGTAGGCCAACACCAGCACCTTGAATTGGGCCCGGTAGCAGATCGGCAGCCAGTGGAGCTGGGACAGCAGGGGCGTTGTATGCTCCCTGCGCCCCGCTCCTGTTAGTAACATGGCCGCCGCGCGCTGGACTAGCTGAAGCTTCCGGGCCGTCTTCAAGGGCAGCCCCACGTAGAGAGCGTTGCAGTAGTCAAGGCGGGATGTGACCAGAGCGTGTACCACCGTGGCCAAGTCAGACTTCCCAAGGTACGGGTGCAGCTGGCGCACGAGCCTAACTGTGCAAATGCTCCCCTGGTCACCGCTGAGACCTGGGGATCCAGGCTCAACGATGAATCCAGAATCACACCCAAGCTGCGAACCTGCACCTTCAAGGGGAGTGCGACCCCATCCAGCACAGGCTGTAACCCTATACCCTGTTCGGCCTTGCGACTGACCAGGAGTACCTCTGTCTTGTCTGGATTCAATTTCAATTTGTTCGCCCTCATCCAGACCGTTACCGCGGCCAGGCACCGGTTCAGGACCTCGACAGCCTCCTTAGTAGCAGGTGGGAAGGAGTGACAGAGTTGGACATCATCTGCGTACAGATGACACCGCACCCCGAAACTCCGGATGATCTCACCCAGCGGCTTCATGTAGATATTAAACAGCATGGGGGACAGTATAGAACCCTGTGGAACCCCACAAGTCAAAGGCTGTGGCGTTGAACAGGTGTCCCCCAATAACACCTTCTGGGTGCGACCCTCCAGAAATGACCGGAGCCACTGTAGAACAGTGCCCCCGAGGCCCATTTCCGCAAGACGCCCCAGAAGGATACCGTGGTCGACGGTATCGAAGGCCGCTGAGAGGTCCAGGAGCACCAACAGGGACACACTCCCCCTGTCTAGCTCCCGGCGCAGATCATCCACTAAGGCGACCAAGACCGTCTCAGTACCATGTCCCGGTCTGAAACCAGACTGTGCCGAATCCAGATAATCCATGTCTCTCAAGAATACCTGGAGTTGTGAGGCCACTACGCTTTCCATGACTTTGCCCAAAAAGGGGAGATTGGAAACTGGCCGAAAGTTGTCAAATCTAGTGGGATCCAGTGATGGTTTTTTCAACAGCGGTTTTATGATAGCTTGTTTTAAGCTCGCTGGAATCTTGCCTTCCCGAAGGGAGGCGTTAACCACCACCGTTACCCACTCAGCCAATCCCCCTCTGGCCTCCTTCAGAAGCCAGGATGGGCAGGGGTCTAGGATGGACGTAGTAGGCCTCATTCCTCCAAGTATCTTGTCCACATCCTCGGGCTTCACCAATTGAAAAGAATCCATCAAAATAGGACAAGCAGGTGCTCGTGTCACATCCTCAGAGACTGCATTTAATATGGTGTCCAGACCGGAACGGATCAAAGCGACTTTGTCTGCAAAGAACCGAGCAAATGCTTCACAGCGCGTGGCCGAATTGTCAGGGCTCCCGCCTGAGGTGGCGGGAGTTAAAAGACCTCTGACAATCCGGAACAACTCCGCCGGACGGTTCCTTGCAGACGCAATAGTAGCCGCAAAGAAAGTTTTCTTTGCAGCTTTTATTGCCTTAAAAAGGACACAAACCGTGCTCGATTTGACTCGCTCGGATCCGAACGCCACACGCTCTCTAGTTCCCTCTTCCTTCGCTTCATCACTGCCAACTCCTCAGTAAACCAAGGAGCTGGTTTAGCTCGGCTACTTGAGAGGGGACGTTCCGGAGCGATCATGTCAATTGCCCTGGTCATCTCCCCATTCCAGAGAGCGACCAAGGCCTCGACATGGTCACCTACCGAGGTGGCGGGAAACTCCCCAAGAGCCGTCAGGAATCCATTCGGATCCATAAGCCTCCTTTTAAACAGAGGGCCAGGTCACAGTCCCTCAAACTGTTGGAGGGACGGATTATAATTTGAGAAAAACATGAATGAATTCCTATGCATACCACATATCTTATTTGGAGTGCAAAAATCACTTAAAAACAATACAATAATTAAAATGAAGAACAATTTAACAAATATAAACTTATTAGTATCTCAATGGGAAGTATGGGCCTGCTTTTGGCTCATGAGATAGGATTGTTGTCATTGTTGTTGTGTGCTTTCAAGTCATTTCAGACTTAGGTTGACCCTGAGCGAGGGCCGGGTAAATGACCTTGGAGGGCCACATCTGGCCCCCGGACCTTAGTTTGAGGACCCCTGCTATAGAGTGTACAAGGCTGGTAGATCACAATCAAGGTCCATCTGCACTTCTACTAGTGGATTTAGCTCTATCATCACATAATGGTCCTCCAAAGAGTTGGTAAACCAGGCCACAGTATCAGCTGGCACAGAGGAAAGGAAGTGGAAAATGAGAAATTCCTACCAATTTATGAGAACAGAGTATCATTGCCTCAGTCTCCATTGTTCCATTTGTTTCATGTGCAATTATACACAATTGGTTCTTAAAGACCAC